GCAATGATGTCAGAAGTGACATCTTGCTTACTACTCTGCATGTGATTACTGGTTGGCCAAACAGTGATCACATGATCAGGATCTCGCACAGAGGTCCCATCCGACGATTGGTGTTCCACTGTGTCCAGAGGACACAGCAGGCACGGGATCGCGGTGCTGCGTGCTCCCAGGGCGCGCGCACAAGCAGGGTGCGGTGAGGCCGTTTATAAACGGCCACCCGACCCACTGCACTGCCACTGTTCGGCCGTTTATATACAACGGCCGGATGGGAGGTGTTTAAGGATTGGCACCTTTGGGGTGCGGGAGGGAGTAGGTACCCGAATTTGACAGGTACCCGCTCCCACTTCCGGTCCGATTGCCTAGGCAACCAGAAGCGGAAGGTGTCCTCCCTCCCTGTAGTCTTTTGGGACACGTGACAGGTTCCAGAAGACTACAGGACCATTCATAAAGCTCAGCGCTACTCGCACATGTGCAGTGGGTACCCGGCTGTGAAGCCGCAAGCTATCACAGCCGGGTGCCCACACTGAAGATGCCGGCCTCCTGGACTACAGGACGACCAGTGAAACGAGCTGTGGAGGACACACCACGGGACTGCGGGACAGGTAAGTGGCTGTTTTTTAAAAGTCAGCAGCTATAGTTCTTGTAGCTGCTGACTTTCATTTTTTGACAGGATGAGTGGAACTCCGCTTTAAAAAAAAAGTTTTTTTCACAAAAATTGTTGGTCTTTTTTTGTTTATAGCGCAAAAAATAAAAAATGCAGAGACAATCAAATACTGAAAGAAAGCTCTATTTGTGGGTAAAAAGGATGTAAATTTAATTTATGTGCAGCGTTGCATGACCGCGCAATTGTCAGCTAAAATAAAGCAGCGCCGTATCGCAAAAAATGGCCTGGTCATGAAGGGAGGGGGCGGTAAATCCTCTGGAGCGCAAGTGGTTAAAGATGAACTGACACTTTAAGGTTTTCTTTGGCTTTTCATAGCTCAGCCGCCTGTATAGAAAACGTCTTGTGCTGTGACTCCCTGAGGCCAAATGACTTCCTAGGCGCAGTTTTCATTCTATTGTGTTGAGATTTTGGAGGGGTGGTACACAAAGCCACCTAAACAATCTTGCCGAAGGCTCCTTCTCCTGGGCAGGGCGGCCTGCAGTGGGTGTGAGATGGTTCTCCGAGCCCCGGAGAGGATGGAAGAGAACGTCACGTATTTCCACACCTCAGAAATGAAGGATTTTCTCTGTGACGTCCCCCGTCGTTGGGCCTTCTCTCCGTCTGGCCTTGTAACATCACTAGACAGGTGTGGCCCGCTCAGGGGAAGGGCCCGATCGGCCTGCTATGACAACCTTTATTTTAACAACAGGCCCTGGAAAGCCTGCCTTCCCCCCTCGCTGCTGTCATTCGCAGCCTTAAATCACCGGAATTATTAAACTGTTTAAAGTCTTACAGTTTGTGAAGGTGGGGATCAAGCCCTGGCGTCTTTTTCCAGTTATGTCTCGCATGCGTTCTCCTTCAACCAAAGTCACTTTTATCCCCTTGGAAGCCGCCGTGGTGGGAAGGTTTCTGTCTTCGAGTCTCTGGACGTGGAAAGGTTATAAAATCTTTAACAACGTGCTGCGAGAGCCTGCCTATCAGTCTGAGAGGTGTACAGAGAACTGGCGTCTCACCGAAGGAAAATAATGATGTTCCAATGTATATTTCCTGGAATGAAAAGGATGGCTCGGAGGACATTCCTGGCCAGGACCCAGCCTAGGGCCTACAGCTGGGAGGGCACCCCGGGCAAGGCTGCCGCTCTGCTTTCACTTCATCATTTATGAAAGTTACGAGAAAAAAAATTGTTATAGCCTATAATAGAGCTGCCTGTGGACTCCGGCCGTCCCTTCAGCCTCCTCTCCTGGACTGAAATGGCTTACTGTGATTTTACAGCACGCTCTGAGCTTCTCACAGTGTGCACTAGAAGCTGCAGCATGTCAGAAAGGGCTCACCTCTTTCCTGGCTGGAGGACGTCCAGCATCCTCCTAGATTGTAAGCTCGAAAGAGCAGGGCCCTCGAACCCCTCGAGTATTGTATTGTTACTGTCCTGTCTCATGTTATGTCCCCCTTGCTACTGTACAGCGCTGAGCATACCCTTTGGCGCTATATAAATATTGTATAATAATAATCATCTAGTCCAGCAGTCTCCAAACTATGGGCCTAATACAGCCCACTGCAAGGTGTTATCTGGCCTCTCAATGTAATATGATCTCTGATAGAGATTCTTGTCTAAGGGGGGACTCTGATACAAGACTCACATGGGGATTCTGTTGTAAGGAAGACTTAGATAGGGAGTCTACAGTACGGGGGAGACTCAGATGGGGATTCTCCCATCAGAGTCTCCCCCCTTATGTTAATGGTGGACTCTGATGAAAGGGAGACTCAGATGAGGACTGTAGTTTCCGGGGGATGGGTGCTCAGATGGGGACTTTGCAGTTTGTGGGGGGGGGGGAGCTCTGATGTAAGAGAGACTCAGATGGGGGACTCTAATATAAGCGGGGCCTCAGATGGGGACTCTGAAGTAAGGGGTCTCTGATGGGGACCATCATATAAGGGTGGACTCTGATTTAAGGGAGACTCAGATGGGGACTCTAATATAAGGGGGGCCTCAGATGAGGACTCTATATGAGGGTCCCCATCAGAGACCCCTTACTTCAAAGGTGGATTCTGATTTAAGGGAGACTCAGATGGGGACTTTAATATCAGTGGGGAGGGGGACTCAGATGGGATCTCTGAAGTAAGGGTGGGACTCTAATGGGGATCCCCATGTAAGGGTGGACTCTGATGGGGACTCTAGTATCAGTGTGGGGGGACTCAGATGGGGACTCTGAAGTAAGGAGGAGGGGACTCTAATGGGAACCCGTATGTAAGGTTGGACTCTGATGTAAGAGAGACTCAAATGGGGACTGTGATATCAGTGGGGGGAGGGGGCTCAGATGGGGATTCTGGAGTAAGGGGGGACTCTGATGGGAGCCCTCATGTAAGGGTGGACTCGGATGTAAGGGAGACTCAGATGGGGACTCTAATATAAAGGGGGATACAGATGGGGACTCTGAAGTAAGGGGGACTCTCTGGTGGGGACTCATGTAGGGGTGGACTCTGATGTAAGAGAGATTCAGATGGGGACTTTGATGCAGGGGGACTCTGATAGGCTCAAATTTATTTGAATTTCTTTTCGTATTTTACTGAAGTTTTTTCTCTCCTGTTCTAGATCATATTCTGCTCATTACAAACCCTCCACATACAATGTGTTCAGTTGTGTTTTTGGCCATTTATAGAACTGATTTTTTAACAAATATTTGTGGACTGAAAAAAAAATCAATGTGGCCTTTATACTGAAGAGTTTGCAGACCCCTCATCTAGCCCTTTCCTCCCCAGCCTGGCTGTCCCTGGCCACCCCCTCAGTTTAGGTCTCTCAGTCATGGAGGCATCACATGTGGGCGTGACCTAGCGTGGTCTACATGCAAACATCTCTCCTACATCCACCCATCAAGGCATTCTGAAATGTGCACACCTTCTGCCAGGAGTCATCCCACTACTTACAACAGGGCTCTTGAGAGGAGTACTAAGGCAAAGTTCTGTGACGTATTCAGGAAGCAATGTTCATCACCCTGCCAGCCGCCATGTGCCTGCATTGCATAGAGAAGCACAGAGGCCCAGTGTTGACATTACGGGTATTACCAGGGCAGGTAATAAGGGTGGATCTCCATTGCAGAAACACAAACATTACAACAAATCTCAGTTTTTTGGGGTTTTTTACTCTCTCCCCTTGCTATCCAAACCTGGAAAAAAAGGTCGGCTATGTATGCACTTTTATTAATTAAAATCGATAAGAATGTATCTGTCGCTTAGGCGCTCTGTTCACAGCATGCAGGAGCGACAGAGTGCGCACACCTTTCCACGCATTCTCGCACATCGCATGTCATTTATTTCAGTAGGCTGACCTACGGGTGAGACGAGTCCCTGACCCTTCTGCAGAATCACAATGTACTGAGACACAAGGTGCATGTAGAGGCTTCTGAGAACACACCATAGTACAGGCAACAACTGATGGCACTGCCGCATGTCTGCTAAAGGGCAGCGCATGTCTGTGTGTGTCAGGAAAAGACCATGGTTCTGCGCATGTTCCTGGCATGATATTTAAAGGATTTTTTCATTTTTTTTGTACTTTAAGCAATGAAAAATGATTGCCCCTTTAAAAAGGGTACGCTTTGAAATGTTTTTTTTTTTTTCACAGATTCATGTCCCTCAGCAGTACCCAAGTCCCTTTTTATGGCCAATAACTTGCATATAGGCCTCCAAAATGGAAACTTTTGAATTTACAAGTTCAAGTCCCAGAGACTTGTATTGAGTTTGAACTTCGCTGTTGAACGTTCGAACGCGAACCAAACATGGGGGTGTTCGGACCATCACTACTTGCTAGGGGGCACCCAAGCAGGCTCACTCCTGTCCATTCACACCGAGCTGCAGCTCAGCCCCCCCTCCTCATTGGCTCACTGGCTGTGATTGCCATTGGCACCCTCTGCAATCTCAGCGAATGGGGAGGAAGCGTCTCTGGAGAGCCGAGGCTCTTGTGCACTTTGCTGGATCGTGATGGGGCTCAGGTATATATTGGGTGGGCTGGGGGAGGAGGGGGTGGGGCTGCACACAGAAGGTTTTTTACCTTCATGCATAAAATTCATGAAGGTTAAGGGTCAGTTCACACTGCATGCATTTCAGTTGCTTTTTTCTGTATCCAAAACGCACAGAAAGTAGGTTATATGGTTGTCAATGTCATAGTTCACATCAGTACTTGCAGTTCCAGTTGCAGAAAAAAATCCCAATACGTGTAAATGAATTGGTTTACGAGAAAGTTATAGCATCTACAGATAGCAGTATATATACTGGAATTTTTATTTATTTATTACTAGGAATGGTAGCAATCAGCAACTTATTGCAGGACTGCGGTGGACATTCTGACACTGGGGGGGGGGAAACTGACTGTCACTGACATCTTCAGTGACACCAATACAGTGATCAATGCTAATAAAAAGCACTGCCACTGTACTAATGACACTGGGCAGGAAGGGTTAACATTTGGGGAGATCAAAGGGTTAACTGTGTGCTGTGTGTGTTTTACTATGTAGACAAGCTGCTTTGTATTGCTATGCTGTGCATAGCAATACAAAGCAACCTGTTCCTGCTGACAGGGGAGAGATCTGTATTGTTTACATACAGACCTCTCCCCTGTCAGCTCCATCGATGATTATCGAGTCCTGGCTGAGATTCGACGGCTGGGACCTGGCGATTGACATGCTGAGGAGCCAATAGCGATGCAAGTAGGGAGCTTGCACGCCCCCTACCTGAAAATGCAAAATCGCGCACACACACACACACACACACATATATACACACATATATGCACACACACACACACACATATATATATATATATATATATATACACATATATGCACACATATATGCACACACACACACACACACACATATATATATATATATATATATATACACACATATATGCACACACACACACATATATATATATGTGTGATTTTGCACATCACTGCCGCCCTGTAGCAGTACTTCTGCTTTTTTCTGTATCCAAAACGCACAGAAAGTAGGTTATGTTGTTGTCAATGTCATAGTTCACATCAGTGCTTGCAGTTCCAGCAGCAGAAAAAAATCCCAATACGTGTAAATGAATTGGTTTACGAGAAAGTTATAGCATCTACAGATAGCAGTATATATACTGGAATTTTTATTTATTTATTACTCAGAATGTTCACCGCAGTCCTGCAATAAGTTGCTGATCGCTGCCATTCAGACACTGGGGGGGAACTGACTGTGATTTTGCACATCACTGCCGCCCTGTAGCAGTACTTCTGCTGTAGGGCAGTCGGGAAGCAGTTAATTAGAGGAGATGAAGTTCATATGGATCGATGCATTTCGACCCAAATAGGGGCTTCTTCAGGATTCACTTAATTATTGTGACATATATACTTGTGTAGCCACAGCAAAGGATGTACAAATATATATCAATATCAAGATAGCAAGGATGCACAGTCACACCAGCAGAAGATGCTCACATCATGTAAATGACTTCAAAGGGAACTTAAAGTGATACAAGGGATCAAACTTGAATCTCCCATAGGGACTTCAGTCTCAATACAGAGTGAGTCAATCAACTGGCAAATGTGCAGAAAGACATCTAAGAACTCAGCCAGATCTAATAAGCGGCTCTTGAATGTATGTGTTATAATGTAAGATAAAAAACAGATGTTCAACTCCATAGGGGGCAACAATGACCCTGGATATACCGAAAACATAAACAGCATCGACGACCAAAAATGGTGGTGGCACCAAAAATGAGGGAACCCTTGTTTGTTTGTCACCATAACTGGTGTCCTCATTGGAAGATATTTCCTCTCTTCCTGTTCTGTTGACACCCCAAAATTTGGAATTTTTCTGAACACAAAGAGCGGTCCGAACAAGCAATATAAGGCAGTTTGGCCATCTAAACATTCATGAAATAAAATCACACTACCTACCCACTAATGCGATTGCACTGTTATTTATATAATTGAATGCTCTTTATATTACACAGTGTAGTGGAGGTGACTTGCTTTAGCTGTATATAAATAGAGAAGAGACTATTGAAATGTAAAGCACTGTATAAAATATGCCTGTGGTTTCCATCTCCCCTGAACGTGGCCATTGAAGTAATAATTGAGTATACCACCAAAACGACAAGTAATAATTGGCAGAGCTTGAATTTCATTGCAAATTCTGCTCATCTGCCTCTCCTTTTGATCATTTTATTAAATATATATATTTTTTTTTGTTGTTGGTAGCATCTAAAATTGGAAGTGCTCTGTAGAGTGGATTGTCGGAAGGATGACATTCGGTAATAAAATGAAGCATTAAATAAGGGCTAGCCAGGATATAATAAATCACTTTTAGAAGGAAGTCTTGAAATACCTGGCCTGCTTCTTTCAAACGAGGTTTACATGAAAGTGACAGCTAAATAAGAAGGCATAGGCAGACACGAGCTGGAAGCTATCTTAATTAAAAGAAAGTTAACTTTACAAGACAGCAAGTATTCTAACATACACATTGCTGGTAATATTAACAGCAATAAACTCACCTGCCGTCAACATCACTGAAGTACAGCTGCCTGATAATAAAAAGGCTGTGAGAGATCTTGTGTTTTTCTACTTGTTTTCTAGACTTTATATTTTTTATATTTATTCCAGTCAAATCTAGGCCTAGATGTGTAGGCTGGCAACCCTGGAAGATGTTAAAAGATTGGTTGCTAGTGTAGCGCTACACCCTGAGGAGCCGCTGTTATGTCTACAGGTTCTTACCTAATCAGTGTAGGACAGCCAAGCACACAGCTGTCATCCATCCACTCTGGCTCAGTACTCAGTCTAGTGGCTTTTTGTAGATTAAGACCCCATGTACACGGGGCATTTCTGAACGATGGAAACTGACGGCTGGAAAACGTAGATTAATAAACGTCTGTTTAGATGCTTTTGCCTCACGTGTTTATGCACGTTTAGAAGCGTTTTTAACCACTTCCCGGCTGTTGCATATAAACGGCTGGACGGTGGCAGTGTGCAGGGTCGGGTGGCCGTTTATAAACGGCCTCCCCTCACCCTGCTTGTGCGCGCTCCCTGGGAACGTGCAGCACCGTTATCCGGTGCCCGCTATGTCCTCCGGACACAGTGAAACACCAATCGTCGGACGGGACCTCTGTACGAGGTCCCGATCATGTGATCACTGATTGGCCAATCAGTGATCACATGCAAAGTAGTAAGCAAGATGTCACTTGTGACATCATTGCTTACTACGTGTGAAATCTGTGAATGATCACAGAGGTCACATGGTACAAGGCTATTCACAACAGCCTTGTACCATGTGACAAGCTGTGACCAATCACAGCTCACTCAGTACTTCTCAATGAGTGCAAGAATGCAGACAGAGAGAAAGAGAAATGATTGCTTTTACACCCATATAGGATGTAAAAGCAATCAGTGTAAAAAAAAAAAAAAAAAAAAAAAAAAAAATCTTCATCACCCCCCACAAGTAGTACAGTGTCACCATGGTGACACTGTACTGCTAGGGTGACAGTATGTAAAAAAATAAATAAAAATAAAAAATAAGAATATAAAAAAATAAAATAAAAATGTAAAAAAAAAAATATTAAAAATTATAATTTTTGGTTATAAACTAATTTGGATTTTTTTTTTTACTAAAAAGATAACGGAATAAATGTTGTCCAAGATTTATGATGAAATATTATTTATTTGCAAAATTTTATAAAAAAAACACTTTTTTTCAAAATGTTTGGACTTTTTCATTTACATAGCAAAAAAAATTAAAATCCCAGCGGTGAATAAATACCACCAAAATAAAGCTTTATCTGTCTCAAAAAAATGGTAAAAAATTCATTTGGGTACAGTGTTGCATGACCATGCTGAAAGCTAAAAATTGCTCTGGTCAGGAAGGGGGTAAAAGTGTCCGGTCTGGAAGTGGTTAAAGATAAGTACAGGAGAAGCTCCCAAATGCCCAGAATGCACTGAAAAGGGGTGAATTATTAACTATTTCAGACTGTTTTAGAGAAATACAGAGAGTAGAAGCAGAGACAGCAGTATGTGTTGAGATTAGCTGAGGTGTGAGTTGGTCATTAACATTTCTTTTGTTTCCAAGGATGGGAAAGGTGTCTGGTGGAGTGAGTCATTAAGGTCACCTAGCAGGGGGTCTTCATGAGGAATTTGAGGTGTGAATGGTCATTAACATATCTTTTGTTTGCAAGGGTGGGAGATGTCTGAGGTGTGAATTGGTCATTACAATGTGTGACAAGCTTGGTAGTTTGGTGGTAGTTTTCAGTGTTTTGTCCATTTGAGTACCTTGAAAATGCTTTGCATGCAGAAAAAAAGGCTCTGGACAGCATCGGAAGAGTTAAAAAAAAAATTTCAGACGCAAACGCTTATAAACGTGATTTGCCACATTTACACGCGTTTACAAGTGGTTTGCGTTTGAAACACTGATAAAATCGACTGCTGAACGCAAGTTTTCTGCGTTCAAAAAAAACGACTGTAAACTCAAATGCCTGTAAATGACTGTAAACTAAGATGTGTACATGGACATAGGAAAACATTAGGGTGAGTTCAGGGGCTGCTGAAAAAAACACTGAACAGCTCCTAAATGTGAGTTTTTCAGCTGCAGTGTACATGAGCCCTTATTGCTGATAGATCTTGGGAGGGGATCTAGAGGTGGAACAGGATACTCCAAAATAAACAGATTGCCAATGGAGGACACTTCTATCTTGATAATAACACCAGCAATTCCCAAGGTAATGATAATCTGATAGAACTCTCTATATGTGCACAGCTGAGGACCATGTACCAAAAAAGTAGCATAAGTCATGGAGGACTAAGGTAGCCCACGTTTCATGGCCTGAGGGCAAAAGAACTCCAGCTCAAGAGAGGAGACTTTACTCGCAGAGTCCCAAAGCGTACACAGTTTATGAGCACTGCCTCAATGAAGGTTCATTGTCCAGCCCAGGTGTACTCCAGGGCAAGCAGCCCCTTGAGCTCACAAGTCTATTCCATCACAAAGAAAAAGACAATGTTCTCTGGGCCTCAGCCTATTAATGGAATCCATCCACCATCTTGGCACACCTGGGAATGCATATGCCTGTAGGCAGGTACAGTCTGTATCCTCCAATGTAGGTGGCACTCAGTTGAGTGGTACCACAGCCTGGAGAAGTTCAAGGGAAACAATGTTTCCCTGTGTTCTTCTGGGTCAATGGAGCAGCATTACGGTTGGCTGTGCTGTGATCATGTAACCCTTGACAGCCATCCTGGGTCAACAGGGTCTGTTTTAGTCCTTGCCCCTGGTTTTGGTGTGCTTCTTGTGTGGGGCTAGTGTAGGGAGAGAGACCCTCTTAAGACCAGACAGGTCAGGCCTTCACCCTCTGAAACAGAAGCAGTCGGCACCTCTCCTCCTCTACATCTGACTACATTGAACTGTGAGTTAATCCCCTAGTGGTGCTCTCCTCCCAGGGTGTTTGTAACATTGACATATTGTTTCATACAAGTTCCAAGTTTTACACGCTTCACCTCCCCACAGGCCCTACTAAATATTTAGGCCTTGAATACTCCCACCCTAATCTCCAGAAGCTTCTCCCAGAGTCAAAGGAAGATAATCAAACTCCCAGCCTGTGGAGCCCTGAGCAGACCAAACTAGACAATTCTGGCTACTGTGGCTACAGTTGAAGCCCCAAACTAAATTTACCAAACAGCCTATGAGTGAGGGCCCAAAAAGAGATAGCAAGACTGACTCTTCCTTT